ATATATATATATATCAAAAATCCAACCATTTATTTAAATAAATACATGTTTCAGGTGTTATCAAACCATCATCATGACAATCTTTAAAAACAGGACAAATACCACATGGATTTCTAACAACAGGTGATGATTCAAGCATGAATTTAACAGATCTATATAAATTTTGTTTAGTACCATTATCAGTATTTGTTGTTGATGCTGCTACTGTAGTTTTTTCAATTTTTCCATCACATATAAGTGTATATAAAATTGATTCAATATCTTGTACTGTCAATGAAACAGTAGCAATTCCCATTTCATTAATAAGTTTAACAAGATCTGTACTAGACATAAATGAACTTGTTCGTCGTAAAAATGGATCATTTGGAAATTTACGTATTGATTCTTCTAATTGTTCATCTAATAAACGAGCACATTGTTCATTTAAAACACGAACAAATTCAGCTTCAAATTCATGATCGGAATACCATGTACCACCAGTGATGGATGGATCAGGTGTCATTTCATAAAGCATATAAACCTACGGGGAAAAAAAACAGAATATCAAATTTTTTTTCTTCATTTTAGATAAAGGAGAAAAAGAAGAATTACCTTTTTCTTGCTTGCATGTACTGATTTAACAGCTTTAATTAATTTTTTACTTTCTAATGATTTAAGTGTTTTATTAAGTATTGTTTGAGATAATTTTGTTTTTGTACGTATATCACGCATCCAAATACCTAAAGTTCCACTTTCTTTAACAAGTTGATAAACAACTCGTTCCATTTGATCAGTAGCACCTCCACCAATTGTTATCGATGAACCAGATACATTTGTTGTATCACGTATACGATAAAGAAATGTTCCTTGTTCAGTTGAAGATTTTAATAAATCAATTTTATTTAATGATAATAAACGATTCAATGCACTAACACGTTGTTGAATAGTTACATTACGAAATGAATTTTCAAGAATTTTATCAGTAACACCATTTGGAAATTGTAAACATAATTGTATTATATCAGATTCTAAATTAACTGGATTGAAATCAGATGTTTCAAGTGATGTTGATGTATCCATTGGTTCACTTTTTGCATGAGAACTTGCCATTCTATATCTTTTCTTTTTATTCTAGAAGAAAAACAACAATAGCACTACAATCCTTTTATTCCTTAATTAGAAGGCTTGTTTAGTATAACAAGGAACAAGGTACAACACTACAAATAAACACAGCAAAGCACAAAAAAAATTGTTTTTAATGTTCTATTCTGCAGCAGTCTCATCTTCTTCAATAATTGTATGATCTTTATTTGGTTGAATAAGTCCATATTTCAAACAGAGTTGAATAATATCCGAAATTATTTTTCGATTCTAAAGAAAAAAAACAACTACTACTACTCAAGATTTATATTCAAAAATTTACCTTTTCATTTACTAATCGATTATCTTTCATTTCCTTAATACCCAATAATATATCCATTAAATCTGTTTCAACAATACGTGTTGCCAATTCCTTATTTACTTTAGTTATATTACGTATAATATATAAAGCTCGAAATTGTATTTCTAAATCTTCTGAAGCACATAATTGTTTAAAAATTTCTACAAACGATGCAACCTAAATAAAATAATTTAAATTATAAATATTTATTTATTTTTAAATAAAATTTACATCAAGTATCTTTTGACATATGATTCGATTTTCTTCAACATATTCATTTAATTTTTTACGATCATCTTCTTGTAACTCAACATCTTTAAAATCATCAAGATCAATTTGTAATGATGATAAAACAGCTATTGTTCCTAGAGCTGCTTTAATTAACGAATCATCATCTTCTTCACCACATAATAAAACTAATAACTTTATACGATCATTTTCACCAGTAAAATATTTTACAACCTTAAATCAAAATATAATAATCGAAACAAAGTAAAAATATTCTCATTACTTCTTCTTGTACAACCAAATTGCACATGCATTCAGTTGCTGCACGTCGAAGCATTTTATGTTCATCATACATATAATGTTCAATATTAACAAATCCATCTTCTTTTAAAATACGTTTTCGAACATTTTCACCAACACCTGCTAAATTAGTTAATGCCATTAATGCTTCGAAATTTTCTAATGCTGTATTTTCCACTTTAAGAAGTTTAAGAATTGGTCGAACAACTTCGAGCATCTGAAAAAAGAAAATTATCATCAAATAGTGTTTATTGTTTAACATACACGTTGACCAGGAAAAGCATTTTCTGGATTTGTTGTAATTGCAATTTTAGCTAATGCTTGAGCTGCTTTTGTTTGACCGACAGGTGTACCATCCGAAGCAAGTGGAAGTAAAGACTTTGAATTTAAAATATATAATTAAAAAAATTGACAAATATGTAAAACATACTTTTGCACCTCCAGCAGCAACAATAGGTCCACGATATTTTTCATTTTCACAAAGTCCAAGAAAAATTCTGTAAAATAAAATTTTTATTTAATAAAAAAACTTCTTTGACATCTAACCGTGATACTTGTTCGCGACAATTAGCACTTTTATGTTTACATAAATGTATTAGAACAGGTATGATTCCTGCATCTACTAATTTTCGACGACGTTCTTCAAAAAATTCGGTATCATCCTTTATAACAAAATAAAAACAAACTTAGATTAAAAAAAATAACTAATAAATTTGATTTTTCTTTACTTTTGGATGTTCTTTAGGTACATGCTGTTTAGCATAATTAGCTAATTCTGTCATTTCTTTATCTGGTTTACGTATATCATATGTATTTGTTAAATTAACAAATATTGTTGTTATTGAATATAAAACATGTGCATCTTCACATTGACATAAATTAAAAAGAGATTTTATTGCTGAAAGATTATTAACAAGATCTTCTTTAACATCAGCATCCAATGTTAAATATGCAAGACCATCAGCTGACCAACGACGAATATCAAAACTTGGACTTGTTGTTAAAAATCTTACAAAAAAAAAATATTTATATGATTTCTTTTATGTAATAATAATATTTACTTGCAACATGCTAGAGCAAGTGTTTGACATGAACCTTCTGTAACAAGATTTGCACTTGAATCTGTACCTTTACTTGATGCAATTTTTGATAAACCCTATTAGAATAAATTTCTAAAAATAATATATATAAAAAGCATACAAATTCTTCATACCACAAGTGCAATGACTTTTATTTGTTCATTAGCTGATTGATAAAGATTTTTAAGAATTTCTGCACCTAAATTTAAAATTCCAGCTGCTTTATCTTTTTTTGATGCTGATAAAACGATTGCTTCAACTGCAATACGCTATAAACAAAACGTTTCATAATTAAATCAAACAATTATTATTATTCAATATTACTTCTTGTAATTCATCACTTGAGCCAGCCATTTGTATCATAAGATCTACTAAATTTTGACTACCTAAGATAGCATTACCCGTATCAAATGGTCCTTGTAATAAAACAGATAAAACAGAGATTGTTCGTACACGTGATTGAACATCATCTCTTTCACGTAATGCTCTAAAAGAAAAATATAATTAACGATTATTATCATACAATTTGTATTACTTACTTTACAAATTCCATACATTCAGTATTGTAACTTTCACGTTCTTTATCCGAACATAAATCATGATAAATAATACTTAATACCATTGATAGATGCATTTTCGTTTGTTCTGTTAATGGATATTGTTTTTTTTCACTTTCAGGTAATTCCGGTACTGTTGCTGCTACTCGTAATACTTTTGGAAGACCTATATTCGAAAAAGAACAGCTATCACATAAAATTTTGTCTTTCAATAATAACCTGATATGATAAATTTATTTGTCCAATTACAACCATTTGCACGATCAACAAACTTGACAATAAGATCAAGACAACAATCACGTCCAATACCTGAACATGATTTATCATCAATTAAATCAAGTAACATACGGAATGTTTCATTGATAAATTCAATAACAGGTTTATCTAGATTTACGAAAACAAATTATACATATGTTTTTTCTTTGTATTATTGATACATACCAAAATTATATGCTACATTCATAGGTTTACGAACTTTACGTCGATTTTCAAGATCACATATTGACATTAACATATTATGAATTAATATAGATGCATTTGTTGGAATTTCTGCATCATTCATTGCAAAACAACGAGCAATTGGTTTCAAGCCAAGTTTATTATAAACTATTTCAGCCTATTAAAATTATGAGGTAAAAAGAATCATAAATAAACTAAAATTATTACCCGTCTATACGAATTCTTAACAATAGCAGATAAGATTCTTAAAACACCAAGAACGGTCGTTCGTTCATTTCGTTGTATAAATTCCGTTAAATGTTGTAAATCCGGATCGAAACTAAGAATTGCTTCAGCACCTGCATCATCACGTGATACAACGAGAAGATTATTTAAAGCCTAAAAGAAATTATTATATTTAAATATATATATATCTTTTATATTTTTACCTTATCAATCAAATTCTTTCGTGCATAGAAATATCAAACAAATATCATGCAATACATGCAAAAAATATCATATATATATTATCAAACCAATCGTGATTTATTACGGTTTCATCCTGATTTGATTTCGAAATAATTGTTTCAAACATTTGTTTAATTTGATTAGTTAATTGTGTTTGTTGTGAAACCTTTTTTTGAAAGAAATCAGTAAATAAGATAACTCAACAAAATAGAAAAATACTTTATTTTGTGCAGTTTCACGTAATTTTTTTAAAAGATTGTATGTTTGTTCATCAGTACCTCCTGCTTTTGATGAAATAGATATTAATCTTTGAGCATCTGATATAGCTTCCTTTAATTTTCCTGAACGTTCAAAAGCATTTGCACGACGATATAAAGATTTTTGATCCGAAGGTGTATATTCAAGTGCTTTATAATTATAAAATAAATATATAAATATTTCTATTAATTAATTAATATACCTCTTGTTGAATCTTCTATAGCATCCTCATATTGACCTAAATTAATATAACATTGCGAACGATTACTATAACATTTCGTTAAATCATTTTTATTTGTTTCCGATAGTTGAAGATCTTTAAGAATATTTAATGCATCAGTATATCGATCAATTGCTTCTAGAAACTGTCCTTGTTTAAATGCTTGATTTCCTTGTTCACGAAGAACTGCGGAATCATCTGATGTAGTTGACATATTTTATCTGAAGAAAAAGAAACAACTGTATTGAAAATAAATAAACATAGAATTTGATAATAAGAAGAAAAAAACAACAACAACATCGATTAACTACGATTATAACGATTACCACTACCACGTGGATTATCATCTTTATATTCGTCCATTATACGAACATTTTGTCGATGTGTAGAATCATCGATTTCATTAAGATATTCATCTGATAATGGAGCTGGTTTAGGTGCTGATACTTAAATTAAAAAATATACAATGAAATCGATGAACTAATAAATAATTATACCTGGCTGTTGAGATTGTGTTTTAGAAAGATCATCGTAAAATTCTTGTACAGTCATCGTTGGTAAACTAAATGACATAGAAAATTAAGGATATTATCTGCTGATAAATATGTCATCTTACCTTGGATAACCTGCTCCTCCAATTGCTTCCTTATATAATCGATCTTTCGTTGTGACTAATGTAAGTGGTCCATCAATCGGTAATTTATTTGTTGATTTTACTGTTTGTACATTACTATTTTGTGGCAATGGATCTTTAGAAAATTGAAGTAATTTTATTTCATCTACAAAAACATAATTTCTATGTCAATCTTATTTTTTTATTATAGAGAAAAGAAAACCTTTTAATGCAAGAATATCTTCTTCTGATTGTTTAATCCACCATTTAATTTGTTCTGTATATAATTGTCGTTTAATTTCATCATCAACACGATTAACATCATGTGCCATTTCGCGTAATGTTGCAATAGATTTTTCTAATGCTTTTTTTTCTTTAAGTCTACATAAAATAGTAAGAATTTCTTTATTTGCTTTTTTCTTTCAAAAAACTATTAACTTTTGAATTTTTGTTTGACGATCTTCTGTAGTTTGTATACGAAATTTATCATTATTATCATCTTGTTCTTTTGGAATGTGTTGAATAAGTCCGTAATTTTTACATAACTGTAAATATTTAATAAAATAATTTATTGATAAATGAATTTCATCTAATCGTTGATCACGATTTGATGTACGATATTCATATAACCAACCGATCAAAGCATAAACAATAAAATATCTTTTGAAAAAAAAAATTAGATAAAAAAAAATTTATTTATCTTTATTATCTACCTTAATTCATTAGATGAAACTTCATTTAATTCTTCATTATCAGAAAATAGATGTAATTCTTCAATTTTATCTTCAGCTAGTTTTAATTTATCGATTGCAATCGTAAATGTTTCGAATTTTTGTTCGATTTTATTCGATTCAAGTTTTTGTTGAAGATCAAAAGCAAAATCAAATAATTCCGCTATCGTTGATTCATTATTCGAAGTCATCTGAAAGTAAAATAATAAAATTTATGCTGAGAAAATCGAACAGATGTTTATTTAGAAATGAATCTAATAGAAGAAAATACAAAAATCAATTCATTTCATTGAAATAATCCGAGACAAGATGATCGCTAAATTTTATTGTCTCCTTCTTCTTATTACCTTTATTATATCTTCAGTTTCATCACGAACTATACAAGACACAACAACAACTGTATCTGAAGTAATTCATTTGACTATTCATGAAAATAGTTATTCAGCTGAAGATAAATATAAATTAATTAATGAATGTGTACAAAAATGTATGGAAAATAATCCAAAACAACCACAACAAGGAAAAGCGAATGTTTTCAGTACTGGCAGAGATAATTGTATTCAACTTCAATGTCGCTTCTATCAACGACGTCGTTAATTTATTTTCAAAAAAATCTATAATTTTATAGATTAAAAAAAAAAGAAATTTATGTACGAACATCTGTCTCAAATAAAATAATAAAAATTCAACGATATAAAATCTATTACAATAGTAAAGCATGTATTGCATCAGCAAAGAATTTTTTCATATACATAAAGAAAAATACCCAAAATAGATTCTATAGTTTCTAGTTTAACTATTTTCATAAAAAATTAGATAATTTATCATTATAATCTTATTAATATAAATAATTAAGCATCTATCATATTGATATTCTATCTATATATACATGTAGCGTTCACTCAAATAGGAACAAATAAATAAACAAATAAACGAAAATAGCTGACCAATCAGAACATGGAATAAACAACATGTGATTCATAAACGTATTACATATCTAATCGTTCGTTCTTATTTCAAACATGGCTGGTTCATTTTCATTTGTTGATGATCTTATACGTGATTATCTTAATTATCGTGGTCTAACAAGTACTTTACGAACATTCGATAATGAAATATCAAAAAATCCAATTGGACAATTTCGTGCTGATCGTATAACAGAACAATTAACATTATATATTCATCAATTTGATATAAATAATTTAATTGATTATTGGACACAAATTGAACAACATCTTTTATCAGCATTAATTATACGTTCACAACAACAAACAAATGTTCTAACAAAAATTCGTACAAATTTATATCGTTGTTATTTAATACATGCAATACAATCATCAAAAACGGAAAAAATCAATGAATTTTTTGATCGTTTAGCTAAAATTTTACAACAATCAAATGAATGGACGAAAGAATGGTTTGCATTACCATTTATAAAAAATCCCGAAGAGAATTCAATATTTCAATTATATTTTTCTAAACAATGGAATGATCTTTTTTGGATTTCATTACAAAATTTTCTATCAACAGCGTTTTATCAGTAAGATATAAAACGAAGATTTTCTTAATAATTAATATTTTTGTTTATTAGTATGACACCACCGAAGATCTGTTCATTAGAAGAAAATAATGCACAACAATTTGGAAATTTAATTAGTCAACAAACAACAAATTCGAAAACTTTACTTCCACCTTCAGCTGTAAATTTTGATACGATAAAAATAAATAAAATAGTTTTTATTATTATAGCGTATTGATCCATCAATATCTCAATTTGCTGAAGTTGTTGATGAAATTCAAATATCTCCAAATCCATCTACGAATGAACAACAACGTCAAACAAATTCAACAATTATATCAAAATTTCGACATAATTTTTTACCTAATACAAAACAAACAACATCACGAAATAAATTACCATCTAAAACAAGTTTTGCTCAACGTTCACAAGAATCAACAACTGGTAATCAAATTTTATTATCAACAGATGATACAACAATATCACAAGTACCAATTTTACCAACAACAACAGCAACAACATCATCTCTTTTAACTACACGACCTAAATCAGCATCGTTTATTCATGATGATGCTCATGTATGAAAATATATGCTCATGCATCCACGTACGTGGTTTGATTGTTTTTCTGCTCATTTTTTTAAATTATTATTATGCTCTTGAACTTTCGACGATAATTTTTATGATGAAATTTTATTTTAATTATTAGATCGATATGAATGAAGAGAGGTTGATTCATTTGGCAGAATTAAAACATCATTCAGGTACAATTATTGACTGTAAATTAAATATGGATGGTTCATTTTATTCTACACTTGATGTTCAAAGTCATGTTAAAAGTATAACTAAAATACTATAAAAACTTTTCTATATTAAATTTTCTTTTCGTTTAAAGTCTGGTCAACTTCTGATGATTTTGATATAATTACTTCGCTTACATCTCGTTCAGCACTTCAATGTCAAGCATTTGATACTCATGAACCATTCTTGTATCTTGGTACATCAGTATCAACTATTAAAGTATTCCATATAACAGAAAAACGTATTGTAAACGAAGCAATTATCGATAAAAATTATCCGAGAATAATGTATCTTCAGCCATATACAAATCAAAGTAAGTTCAAATATAGATTTAATCTTTCAAAAAGGAAAATAATAAATTTTATTTAATTATAATTTAGATCGTCTTTTTGTTTCACTAGCAAGTACAAGTCGTTTAAATACAATAGATAATAATCGTATACGTTCTGGTCGTGTATCTATTCTTGATTTAAATACATGGTCTGTTGAACGTGTGTTAGCGGATGATGATGAAAATTTTGTTACATGTTTAAATATACATCCAGATAAACAATTACTTGTTTTAGGTAACCTAATATATATTTTTTTGTTGAAAAAAAAAATAACGATGACTTCTTGTTTTTCCAGGTTTTAATGATGGAAAAGTAGCATTATATGATATTCGTTCAAATACATTGATTCATCAAAAACAACAACATTCACGTTTTATTCAAGATATCCATTTTGTCAATGATTATTTGTATACAATTGGAAACGATAATATAATTGTTCAATCAAATCTATCTTCATTTGATCAAGTAGTAAAATCTTATGAATTACCTTATTCAGCTGTTGGACCATTTCAAACATCAACTTCCGTATCACCCAGTGAAACTAGTACACCTCTGTTTTCTGCTCAAAAAATATTTCCATTTAATAATAACAGTAATAATTTATTTCCAATTGGTAGTGTTTTCGATATTGATCCATATGATTCTGATCGTTTAATAACATGTAGTCCGATCAATGCTCGTTTTTATCGTTTATCAAGTAATAATGTAGATGATAAACTTCGATTTCCAACATTACCAAATTCTTCTTTCGAAAATTTTGAGTTAAATTTTCCAAGTACATGTGTACATTGGAATAAAGACAAAGATATGTGTATGACAGCACATACAAATGGAATAATTCAATTATATCGACGAATAAATAAACCTGATATATAACTGGTTCTTTTTTCTTCTTCTTATGTGTGAATGAAATCTAATTTTATTTTATTTTCTATATTGTGATATATAAATAAAAAATTTTGATTGATAAAAAAAACAATGAATTTGAATTCTCATTTATAAAAGCAGAACATTTCAATCTTATGATATAAATAATAGAATTGAAACAGATTTTATACTTTTACTAAATTAAATAGACCAAAATGAAAGTCACCATTTTCAATATGTAACAAAGTATTTATCCAAAATTATATACTTTCTCATATTAATCTTTGTTATTGATTATATTTTTTTGATCAAATTTCATAGCAACAAATCTTAATCATGGACAGATGTTTACAATTCACACAAATATACTTTTATCTATATTTCTCAAAATAACTGGAGTACAGCTAATCACACTATTCTCAGCATATTTATAGGCAGACAAGTATGGACTCTTGCAGTCATTAAGTGAAGTTTAGTCCGTTGAAATTATTCAATCTAAATTTAAAGGTAATTATACTGTCTTTTCTTTTGTGTCTTATTACATTTAAATCCTATTACATATATTTTTATTATAGATGACTTATATTCTAGTAATACTGGGGACTTGCCTGTCTCTGATAGCAGTATCTAACGGATGTTTCCCTTATGATACGAAGTTTAGCAAAGTTGGTACTACTATTCAAGTACCAACTGTTGCACGTGATCAATGGTGGTGTCCTGCAAATAGATTTTATGGATGGCTAGGGTAAATTGTAATATCTCTATTTAAAAATCAATCGATAAAACCTTTCAGTTTTGATTAAAATTATTTTTTATCAAATATTAAATATTTAAATAATTTATAATCATCTCATGTTAATAGATATGTTCGTGATCTGAAAGGTTGGACTTGTAGTGATGCTGTCTATTCGCTTGCACGTCTACAACAAGATTTTAAAAAAATGGCTGATGATGGAGCTAAAATGGTTCGAATATACGGACCAATTTGTGAACAACAAATGGTCTGGGATAATATTATACAAGCAGCAGCTGAAAATAATCTGTTAGTTATTTTCTGTTTAAACTTTTAATATTTATAATATCTCACTATTGAAGTGGTGTGCTTGGCATTGTTTGGCATGGATATAGCGATAGTGAACTTAATAAATGGGAAGAACGAAAAAATGCTCTAATGGCTGTTCTTAAGAAACCATTAAGCAAATATGTCATTCATTCTGTTTCATTTGGTTCTGAACCATTATTTTCATGGAGTATTTCGGGTACTTTTGTTGCTGAATTAACAAAAATCAAAACGGAATTAAAAGCATTAAGTATTCCACTTACTGTTAGCGAGGTATATCATTTATTTTCTTATCGATAAATTATTTCTATTTTTCTAAATTTATGACAAAAAATAGATGAAATATGGTTATGATGTTTGTCCTGCTGCTGCAAAAAATGCTGTTATTAATAATATTGATTTTATATCAGCTCATAGTATGCTTATAATTTTATCTATTGTAGCTTTTTATAAAATGAAGTTCTAATTTGATAGTTATGCCATATTATGGAACATGTGATTTACCAGGACAAGTATGGAATTTCATTACAAATGAGATAGACGCATTCAAACGTATGATACCCGGTAAACAAATGATGATAACTCAAAATCCATGGGGTTCAAGTACATATGGTCGTAATCGAGGATCAGTTTGTGGATCTGATGTATGGAAAGGTGTTTCTGTAGAAGGTGCTAATGAATATTGGAGACTTTGGATAAATAATTGTCAATATTTTAAACAACAACAAATTGGATGGTTTGCACATACATTTTCGGTATATATATATAACATTTGATTATCATATATATATATTATTTAATTTTGTTTTAGGCTGATTCAGAATATAATTTTGGAATATATGGTCCTCGTAATGATGCCGTACCTTATCCACGTCACATTGATTTTAAACCTATTTTTTGTTAAATAAATCTTTGATTATTATTTGGATTCACTTAAAATATTTGATAGTTTTTCAAAAATGTAAAATAGTTCATATGTCAAATAGATTCTGAATATCTCAGAAATGTTTATCATTCCTAGCGTTAGTTTTTAGAAGTACTAATAAATAAGAAGATGTAAAAATTACTACAAATTCTTTTATAATATCAGTTAAAAAGAATTTAATTGGAAATGTGAAAAACAGTACTACATAGAATCATAGGTTAGTGCATTCTTGCAATAGCAACGATATTCTTCGTATCGTTGAATAAAAAACATGCAGAAATGCGTACATTTTATAATAAAAAATATTTATTATATAATGTTGAAAAAAAACTGATTATTGAATACTGTAAATACTTGGCTATTATGATAGTCTAGTTTTTCATATTACTAGAAAGTGAATTAGACATATATTCAATAAAATGGAAGATCAATACAAACTCAAAATTAGAGGACTGATATTCATATATCTTAGATTTATGTAATGTAGAATAGTCACCGAGAATATTCCATCGAAATTGAGTCAGATAAAGTTATAAAAATATGAAGCTACCACGTGAAATGACTTTGATTGAATAGAAAGAAAATAACAGTTAATTGTATTTCCTTCTCATGCCCAGCAGTACCTGATAAATATATATGAAAGGATCGATTTGTTTCATTCAAGGTAGAAATCATGTAGATGAAGATGATGATCATTATTTTAACAAATATTTTAAATGATACTCGAAACCAATAGTGCTTTATTTATTCTCTTAAGGTGAAGAATAAAATATAACAAAAAACAATGAAAAAAAGTAAAAGCTAGAATATGCTAAAACCGAGAAAATATGAAAGAATATTGAAATGAAACATTCTATATGGAATGTTGGGTTTGCTGATTGCCTAACAGTAAATTGTTTATCTCTTAGAGTTCGTTTGTTGCTGATCTTTCTTTTCTTTCTTCTTGTGGTTTAGAAGCTGGAGAATCATAAACAACTGTTTCTTCAGTAAAAGCTAGTGTTGGCTTTGTTGTATCAAATGCACGAACTGTATGAATATGATCATGATTTGCTATATATAACAAAAGAAAAATAGATAATATTAGTATAAGATAATAAAAGAGTAAAGTAATGGTACCTGTTGTAGTAGTAGTAAAATGTGTTGTTGTCTGAGTAGTAGTAGTAGTTGGAGGAGGTGGTGGTTGAGTTGTTGGGGCTTGTGTTGTAGT